AAGTTACGACCAAGGTTAAAGTTTTTAAAAAGTACAAGGTTCAAGGTCACAGAGTCAAATATCATAGCGTATGATCTACAAACTTGAAGGTATTGTCACAATACTCAATGACATATTAAGTACAATGTATGAAAGCCCTATCTCTTCTCATTCAAATGTTTTAAGTAATGTTTAAATTTTTGAAAAGCTGGTAAAATGCACATATGACAGTCCTATCTCTTCTCATTCAAAGGATATGACCAAGGTTAGTTTTTGTGAAAGACGTTTGACATTTGAGATTTAATGTCCCCTTGCTTTCATGAAAGCGGGGGTCAAATATTGGAATATTATATCCCAACACACTGGTATTTTTGTAAAAGTGATGTACTGTGAAGATCATATGGCATTTTAAATAAAATGATACCTTGAGCTTTTCTTGGAAACTCCGTGTCAATTTCCATTATGTCAGGAATACTGTATACAGGAAAATTTTCATCCCTTTCTGCTTCGCCCTACCTTAATTTGGGTGAATTCAAAATGGAGCCAAATTAAAGAATACAGTATAATTGTTTTTAATAAAACTATGATTGGATGAAATTTAAATGGGGCAAAATTGTCTGCACGTATGAAAGGGCGAAAATAACCCTGCATACAGTAAACATCCTTATGAAATATATGGCCTCTTATTACCTATAATAACTATAATTTTATAAAGATATTGAATTTGACCTTATTATCCCCCTTACAATACCAGTCACATATGGTGATGTCTCCATATTAATGAAAAATCCTAGAGAGGGAGACTATTTAAATAAACAATATACAATCAATCAACATACCCCTTACATGTAAAACTGAGAAAATGCTGAAATAAAACCCTCATAGACATACATGTATTTTCGTTTTATACAATTAAACATTTACTCAAGACAACTGACTCGGTGATAAATTTATTACAAATCATTACATGTTACAATCTGTCATCAGTTTAGGTCTGCATTTACTTGATCATTGGCTACCCATTCTATATAATGTCTTTGCTGTAATTATTCTGTCAGAAAAAGTACTTCTCCAATCATCAAACACTTGGAATGTTTTCCTAAGAGTTTAAATGTCAAAGCCTACGTAATTCACTTGATCACTCACTCTGAGAGAGATTTAACTGTTGTATCACAGCTTCAGATAATTTAATTAGCCGACAAGTGTCATCACATACAAATGGCCAGCACCTTGCTTCTCCTCTCAATTACATTTATCTGGTTAGAGTGGCGCCTTCTCCCTCAACGTTGGTCTGTATGGTATGTGTCACATATCTGTCTGTTTTACTGTCACCACATGAATGGTGCCCTCTCTCTCAGCATCCGTACGCTGTACTGTCTCCACTCCCGCTGTGTGATCCACAATTCCTGGGTCGTGTCCAGACAAGCCAAGATGGCCGCTCCTTTCCAGCAAACCATGCAGGGATCCATGTCCTGAAAGAATCACAAGGAGATAATTAGTAACCTGTATATCGGGGTAACCCTACACAGAAGGTCATGAACAGAATACGTCCTTCACAACCAATTGATTCCTAGACATTTGTTTCCATATAATTATACATAAATCAAACGTAAAGGTCAAACACACTGCCATCCTTTCATCCACTTACAATATTGTGTGCAGTTTTAGCATTATGCTGTAGCTTACTCAGGACAACTAAACAAAATTTTGGACCCAGACTGGACCTATAGGTCGGATTGTTCTCAATGTACTTAAAATTAGATGTTAGATCCGCTCGCATACTTGTTACACTAACATATAACAACATCCCATTGAGGGTCACGACAGAGGTCAAATTTGGAACATGCAGCTATATATTTATTTGCTTCAACAATAAACAACGATTTTGCAGACTACGATTCGATTGGTTGAAAGAATTGGATCTCTGATGTGCCCTCAATGGGATGTTGTTAGAATTTAGTGTAGCAAGTATGCAAGCGGATCTAACATCTAATTTTAATTAGATTGGATTGTTCTTTGTTGTTTATAGAGGACTTACCTTTGGTCTGGTGAAGACGTCCATGGTTTCCAGCATGAGTCGGTACTGGGGGGGCATCCCCACCCACACCCGGTACTGCAGCCACTGCTGGGCCCCCTCAAACATCATCCCACCCCCCACCACCACCATACAGCTGTACATCTTCTTCTTAGTCTCATCATTGTCTGAAATGGAATCAGGGTCAATCATAAAAGAATGCTGGATCTTTTATTTGTTGTTCTTTTAAGGGAAATGTAAAAAGTATTCTGTACATGTAGTGATATTTGGTTTCTTATTGGAAAAAAGAAAAAGATTATGATGTGCAAATGATATACTACAATTTCATGCATAAAGAACAGCTCAATTTCACAATAAGCATACAGTAACATGCAGAGAAAAATGCTAACTTTTCACAAAGTGAATACTGAAAAAGATTTCATCATACATCTATATATTAATCCACAAGTTTTGCATCTTTTTTAGTATGAAAATATTACTTGCTGCATACCATGATTTTCTTGAGTGTTTACATCAAGTTCTTTCTCAGTCACAAATACATTTAATTAGTAGTTATAAATTGATTTCAAGCTAACAAAATGCAAATTAAGAATGGCACAAATAATAGTTGGTTTACACAGGTATGCACATTACTAAGTACAATGTACATGTATTTCATCCATACTGACCACATTTATCTATACTGTGAAGGATGGCCTGGTCGACGCCCATCAGTTGTACGACAGGATCTGACTCCGCCTCTAGCTCCTCCTCCATCTCTAAGCCCCGCCCACCCTTCTGTATGTCCGTAACCTGTAGAGATTCCGCGTTGTCGTTCGAGTCCTCGTCTATCTGAGGTTGAAAGGTCGAATCGTCAAACTGACCTATGTTGCTCTCGTTAGCGTCTTTGTTATCTGAGTTGTCTTTCTTTTTTGCCAGTTTTGTCTGAAATTGAAGATTTAATATCTAACCCATTAACTAGATTTGTTTTCTGAGATTAACTTGTTCTGATTTATAAAATGTACAATAAAACGTCATGGTTAAAGTGAATGATGCTTATAATAAATTGCAATTTACACATACAGAAAAGTGATTTTCCTAACCTGTGACTTTATTGTTATATTGCAAACTCGAATGAATTTCATATATAACAAAGTAAATATGTCTGTCTCTGGCCTTTCTCTATAAGGGTGTTTTGTACAGTATTTGGGTGTGTGTTTGTTTAGTACTTTCAGTGTACTGCTATGACTTACCTCCCTTGTGGTCATTTTGAGGTAGAATTCATCATGTGGATCCTCCGGATCTCCCTCGCTCCTTTTCTGGACATGTGCCAAGTCTCCATGTAAGGTCAATAGGTCAGGGAAGAAGAGGCTCATGGGAGTGAGAATGACTTCCTCTCCGAGCCTGATGGGATACTTCACAATGTGCTGCTCGGGCTTCTTAATCAGGATGGAGTGTTCCTTTACTCCACTGTCATCCTACAAAACAACAACATTCTCCTGAAAGTCTTCAAATTGATTTTCAGCCTGCACTAACATGCACATTGCTCTAACAGAGGTTGGAGTAATTAACGAAGTTTTTTTTATTACTTAGTAATTAGTTTGACATTACAAATCAGTAGCCTGTATCTTATCAGTTTCTCTTGACTTCATTGAAAAAGATCCATAGTCTATGCTGTCCAAATCTAGTCAGCATAAACTCTTCACACACCTGGTCCAGGGTGCAGTAAGTCTCCTTCATTTCCTGCAGCAGGAGACAGTCTACTGTATTCTGAGCGTCTAACTCCCTCAGGTTAATTCCTGATCTCTGAATCATGTGATGGAAACACCTAGTGATGTCACTTCCTCCATAATCCATCGTCACCCTAAATAAAACATTCTGTCATTTTACATTGAGTTCTGCAACTTGTGTGTTTTTCTGTTAGTGGTAAAGGCACGGCACAGTTGGCGGGAGATCTCGAGTTCATTAATTTCAGAGTGGCCAACACTGTACCCACCTGATACATTTGGTGCCCAAAAACTAAAACCCATATATGATTTAGAAGAGTCTAAATGAAGTTTTCAGGATGGAAAATCTCAAGAAAATAAGGGAAGAACGGGAATTGGGTATGTTGACCTGGTAGCTCAGGTTGTGTTTAGAGCACCAGTACAGTTACACATCTTTTACACAACACACACTGGTTGTCTTTACTGGTTCCCTACCTTGTGTTCCTGTGAGATATTCCGTCTTCTTCACAACACACACTGGTTGTCTTTACTGGTTCCCTACCTTGTGTTCCTGTGAGATATTCCGTCTTCTACACAACACACACTGGTTGTCTTTACTGGTTCCCTACCTTGTGTTCCTGTGAGATATTCCGTCTTCTACACAACACACGCTGGTTTTCTGATCTCCAATGTCTACCACACAAGCACTGCTGACCCCTGACCCAAAGGTCGCGCATACTGACTCCTAGGAGATAAACAGGTTTTTGTGACAATAGTCTATTCCAGAAGCATTAAATCCCTTCATATTGTGATGACTCCAAGGAAAATAAATTAAAAATATGACTAAGCTAGAATACCAATAGACTTAGTAGTATGATATTGTTTACGGTTAACCAACAATTAAATACAACTTTTTAGCTTTCAAATCAAGAACTGAAAGCTGGTCTGCACTAATATAGAAAATATTCAGGTTTCTTGTTTCCAACACCTGTACATGTCTTTAGCTTTCCCAATCATACATATCAGATAGCTGGAGTTGCTTAATGTTATTTCTCAAAAGTGTATAAGAGTAAGTTTACAATCTTTACAATATTGCAGTATTGTACATGCAGTGGTTGGTTTACAATATTGCAGTATTGTAGTGCAGTGGTTGGTGACTTTTACTAACCTGATGGAGAATAGCGCTTCCAAATCCCAGTCTGTCCAACAACAGGGTCATCAGGTGCTTAGTGTGTCTGTGACTGAATACGTCAGGAATCAACAGCATGGCCTTATACATCTAAAATATCAACATCAAATATCAACAACAGGGTCATCAGGTGCTTAGTGTGTCTGTGACTGAATACATCAGGAATCAACAGCATGGCCTTGTACATCTGAAATATCAACATCAGAAATCAACATCAGCAATCAACAGCATGGCCTTGTACATCTAAAATATCAACATCAGAAATCAACATCAGCAATCAACAGCATGGCCTTATACATCTAAAATATCAACATCAGCAATCAACAGCATGGCCTTATACATCTGAAAATCAACATCAAAAATTAACAGCACGGCTTTATACATCTGAAACATCAACAAGATGTGTCTGTTGAGTGGTATATTTAGATGTGTCTGTTGAGTGGTATATCTAGATGTTTCTGTTGAGTGGTATATCTAGGTGTTACTGTAGTTAAGTTTTACCTTGAGATCTTTCAGTGGTATATCTAGGTGTTACTGTAGTTAAGTTTTACCTTGAGATCTTTGAGTGGTATATCTAAGTGTTTTTGTAGTTTTACTTTGAGATCTTTCAGTGGTATATCTAGGTGTTTCTGTAGTTAAGTTTTACCTTGAGGTCTTTGAGTGGTATATCTAGGTGTTTCTGTAGTTTTACCTTGAGATCTTTGAGTGGTATATCAAGGTGTTTCTGTAGTTATGATTTACCTTGAGATCTTTGAGTGGTATATCTAGGTGTTTCTGTAGTTATGATTTACCTTGAGATCTTTGAGTGGTATATCTAGGTGTTTCTGTAGTTATGATTTACCTTGAGGTCTTTGAGTTGTATATCTAGGTGTTTCTGTAGTTTTACCTTGAGATCTTTGAGTGGTATATCTAGGTGTTTCTGTAGTTAAGATTTACCTTGAGATCTTTCAGTGGTATATCTAGGTGTTTCTGTAGTTTTACCTTGAGGTCTTTGAGTGGTATATCTAAGTGTTTCTGTAGTTTTACCTTGAGATCTTTGAGTGGTATATCTAGGTGTTTCTGTAGTTTTACCTTGAGATCTTTGAGTGGTATATCTAGGTGTTTCTGTAGTTTTACCTTGAGGTCTTTGAGTGGTATATCTAGGTGTTTCTGTAGTTTTACCTTGAGGTCTTTCAGTGGTATATCTAGGTGTTTTTGTAGTTTTACCTTGAGATCTTTGAGTGGTATATCTAGGTGTTTCTGTAGTTTTACCTTGAGATCTTTCAGTGGTATATCTAGGTGTTTCTGTAGTTATGATTTACCTTGAGATCTTTGAGTGGTATATCTAAGTGTTTCTGTAGTTTTACCTTGAGGTCTTTGAGTGGTATATCTAGGTGTTTCTGTAGTTTTACCTTGAGGTCTTTCAGTAGTATATCTAGGTGTTTCTGTAGTTTTACCTTGAGATCTTTCAGTGGTATATCTAGGTGTTTCTGTAGTTTTACCTTGAGATCTTTGAGTGGTATATCTAAGTGTTTCTGTAGTTTTACCTTGAGGTCTTTGAGTGGTATATCTAGGTGTTTCTGTAGTTTTACCTTGAGGTCTTTCAGTGGTATATCTAGGTGTTTTTGTAGTTTTACCTTGAGATCTTTCAGTGGTATATCTAGGTGTTTCTGTAGTTTTACCTTGAGATCTTTGAGTGGTATATCTAAGTGTTTCTGTAGTTTTACCTTGAGGTCTTTGAGTGGTATATCTAGGTGTTTCTGTAGTTTTACCTTGAGATCTTTGAGTGGTATATCTAAGTGTTTTTGTAGTTTTACCTTGAGATCTTTGAGTGGTATATCTAGGTGTTTCTGTAGTTTTACCTTGAGATCTTTGTGTGGTATATCTAGGTGTTTCTGTAGTTTTACCTTGAGATCTTTCAGTGGTATATCTAGGTGTTTCTGTAGATTTACCTTGAGATCTTTCAGCGGTATATCTAGGTGTTTCTGTAGTTTTACCTTGAGGTCTTTGAATGGTATATCTAGGTGTTTCTGTAGTTTTACCTTGAGATCTTTGAGTGGTATATCTAGGTGTTTCTGTAGTTTTACCTTGAGATCTTTCAGTGGTATATCTAGGTGTTTCTGTAGATTTACCTTGAGATCTTTCAGTGGTATATCTAGGTGTTTCTGTAGTTTTACCTTGAGGTCTTTGAGTGGTATATCTAGGTGTTTCTGTAGTTTTACCTTGAGATCTTTGAGTAGTATATCTAGGTTTTCTGTAGTTTTACCTTGAGATCTTTCAGTGGTATATCTAAGTGTTTCTGTAGATTTACATTGAGATCTTTGAGTGGTATATCTAGGTGTTTCTGTAGTTTTACCTTGAGATCTTTGAGTGGTATATCTAGGTGTTTCTGTAGTTTTACCTTGAGATCTTTGAGTGGTATATCTAGGTGTTTCTGTAGTTTTACCTTGAGATCTTTGAGTGGTATATCTAGGTGTTTCTGTAGTTTTACCTTGAGATCTTTGAGTGGTATATCTAAGTGTTTTTGTAGTTTTACCTTGAGATCTTTCAGTTGTATATCTAGGTGTTTCTGTAGGTTTACCTTGAGATCTTTGAGTGGTATATCTAGGTGTTTCTGTAGTTTTACCTTGAGATCTTTGAGTGGTATATCTAGGTGTTTCTGTAGTTTTACCTTGAGATCTTTGAGTGGTATATCTAGGTGTTTCTGTAGTTTTACCTTGAGGTCTTTGAGTGGTATATCTAGGTGTTTCTGTAGTTTTACCTTGAGGTCTTTGAGTGGTTAATCGAGGTGTTTCTGTAGTTTTACCTTGAGGTCTTTGAGTGGTATATCTAGGTGTTTCTGTAGTTTTACCTTGAGATCTTTGAGTGGTATATCTAAGTGTTTTTGTAGTTTTACCTTGAGATCTTTCAGTTGTATATCTAAGTGTTTCTGTAGTTTTACCTTGAGATCTTTGAGTGGTATATCTAGGTGTTTCTGTAGTTTTACCTTGAGGTCTTTGAGTGGTATATCTAGGTGTTTCTGTAGTTTTACCTTGAGGTCTTTGAGTGGTATATCTAGGTGTTTCTGTAGTTTTACCTTGAGGTCTTTGAGTGGTATATCTAAGTGTTTCTGTAGTTTTACCTTGAGATCTTTGAGTGGTATATCTAGGTGTTTCTGTAGTTTTACCTTGAGATCTTTGAGTGGTATATCTAGGTGTTTCTGTAGTTTTACCTTGAGGTCTTTGAGTGGTATATCTAGGTGTTTCTGTAGTTTTACCTTGAGGTCTTTCAGTGGTATATCTAGGTGTTTTTGTAGTTTTACCTTGAGATCTTTGAGTGGTATATCTAGGTGTTTCTGTAGTTTTACCTTGAGATCTTTCAGTGGTATATCTAGGTGTTTCTGTAGTTATGATTTACCTTGAGATCTTTGAGTGGTATATCTAAGTGTTTCTGTAGTTTTACCTTGAGGTCTTTGAGTGGTATATCTAGGTGTTTCTGTAGTTTTACCTTGAGGTCTTTCAGTAGTATATCTAGGTGTTTCTGTAGTTTTACCTTGAGATCTTTCAGTGGTATATCTAGGTGTTTCTGTAGTTATGATTTACCTTGAGATCTTTGAGTGGTATATCTAAGTGTTTCTGTAGTTTTACCTTGAGGTCTTTGAGTGGTATATCTAGGTGTTTCTGTAGTTTTACCTTGAGGTCTTTCAGTGGTATATCTAGGTGTTTTTGTAGTTTTACCTTGAGATCTTTCAGTGGTATATCTAGGTGTTTCTGTAGTTTTACCTTGAGATCTTTGAGTGGTATATCTAAGTGTTTCTGTAGTTTTACCTTGAGGTCTTTGAGTGGTATATCTAGGTGTTTCTGTAGTTTTACTTTGAGGTCTTTGAGTGGTATATCTAGGTGTTTCTGTAGTTTTACTTTGAGGTCTTTGAGTGGTATATCTAGGTGTTTCTGTAGTTTTACCTTGAGGTCTTTCAGTGGTATATCTAGGTGTTTCTGTAGTTTTACCTTGAGATCTTTCAGTGGTATATCTAGGTGTTTCTGTAGTTTTAACTTGAGTTCTTTGAGTGGTATATCTAGGTGTTTCTGTAGTTTTACCTTGAGGTCTTTGAGTGGTATATCTAGGTGTTTCTGTAGTTTTACCTTGAGGTCTTTCAGTGGTATATCTAGGTGTTTTTGTAGTTTTACCTTGAGATCTTTCAGTGGTATATCTAGGTGTTTCTGTAGTTTTACCTTTGAGTGGTATATCTAAGTGTTTCTGTAGTTTTACCTTGAGGTCTTTGAGTGGTATATCTAGGTGTTTCTGTAGTTTTACCTTGAGATCTTTGAGTGGTATATCTAAGTGTTTTTGTAGTTTTACCTTGAGATCTTTGAGTGGTATATCTAGGTGTTTCTGTAGTTTTACCTTGAGATCTTTGTGTGGTATATCTAGGTGTTTCTGTAGTTTTACCTTGAGATCTTTCAGTGGTATATCTAGGTGTTTCTGTAGATTTACCTTGAGATCTTTCAGCGGTATATCTAGGTGTTTCTGTAGTTTTACCTTGAGGTCTTTGAATGGTATATCTAGGTGTTTCTGTAGTTTTACCTTGAGATCTTTGAGTGGTATATCTAGGTGTTTCTGTAGTTTTACCTTGAGATCTTTCAGTGGTATATCTAGGTGTTTCTGTAGATTTACCTTGAGATCTTTCAGTGGTATATCTAGGTGTTTCTGTAGTTTTACCTTGAGGTCTTTGAGTGGTATATCTAGGTGTTTCTGTAGTTTTACCTTGAGATCTTTGAGTAGTATATCTAGGTTTTCTGTAGTTTTACCTTGAGATCTTTCAGTGGTATATCTAAGTGTTTCTGTAGATTTACTTTGAGATCTTTGAGTGGTATATCTAGGTGTTTCTGTAGTTTTACCTTGAGATCTTTGAGTGGTATATCTAGGTGTTTCTGTAGTTTTACCTTGAGATCTTTGAGTGGTATATCTAGGTGTTTCTGTAGTTTTACCTTGAGATCTTTGAGTGGTATATCTAGGTGTTTCTGTAGTTTTACCTTGAGATCTTTGAGTGGTATATCTAAGTGTTTTTGTAGTTTTACCTTGAGATCTTTCAGTTGTATATCTAAGTGTTTCTGTAGGTTTACCTTGAGATCTTTGAGTGGTATATCTAGGTGTTTCTGTAGTTTTACCTTGAGATCTTTGAGTGGTATATCTAGGTGTTTCTGTAGTTTTACCTTGAGGTCT